TAAGCAAAGGATAAACCGCTAGTCCTGTTCCAATGGCCGAGTAGGAGAGTGAAAATAAAATTAAATAAATAATCAATAAAATTTCAATGTTTATGCGGAGGCGTAAGTAATTTTTAAAACTCAATCCTAAACAAGAAACAGCGGATAAACCTATAATTCTCCCATAAAATGATTAATTAATGACGAACATGTCATTTTTGTTTATGATCGATTACAGCAGGATTCTTCTGTTAAGCTTGGAGAATAATTATAACTTCTTATTTTCAAAGTAGAATCTCGGAGAATTCCAGTAAGCTATATTTAATCATTTTAAAATTATAACGTTATAACATATTGAACAATTGAACAATTTTGCTGTTACACGATTAGGATAAATTTGCCGTTACACACGGTATATAAAATCTTATATTTGGGCACACACACAAACACACACACACACACACACATATATATATATATATATATATATATATATATATATATATTATGAAATGGACAAATTCCGAGAATTATTTTAAGACATTTTTATGTTTATACATTCTTTTTATAGATACAGATATTTAAGTAAATGCTTTGTTTGTAATAAACAATGTTAAACAACATTTACCGTCCTGAATCTCCGAGAAATTTTTTACAGAAAATATTCGTCCTCCGACAGGATTCCAACATGTATCCTATACGGAACCGTCATTTAGCTTGACGTGCCTTTAACCGATTTGGCCACGAAGGAGCGTTCGGTTTGCAAGGTCGAATTTACTGTATTTAAACTTCAATCTTACATGAATCGCTTACGTCTGCTCATGGCGTATCAAATGTAAACAAATGACGTCACACGTGCCTTCGTGGCCAAATCGGTAAAGGCACGTCAAGCTAAACCGTATAGGATACAGGTTCGAATCCTGTCGGAGGACGAATATTTTCTTTGAAAAATTTCTCGGACATTCAGGCCGGTAAATATTGTTTAATGCTGTTTATTATAAACAGAGCATTTACTTAAATATTTGTAACTATAAAAAGAATGTATAAAGTTAAAAATGACTTTATATATATATATATATATATATATATATATATATATATATATATATATATTATATTCTGACAATGAAAAAAGTATGGGAAAACATTATTCAGGTGCCGAGGTGAGAAATGACAATAAAGGAAAGGGTTTAGTTAGACAGAAGATGTCGTTACTCGTTGCATTTAAATTTTTGAAAGTTGTAAGTCGTAGCGAATCAAGAATAGGAAGGAAGTTCCACAGGTGAAAAGTGCGATAAAAGAAACATACGGTTGCATCTGGCTATTTCCACTTTTAAAAAAGGTGAGACCTAACTGCCAATCTAGTAGTATGAACAGATGCCATGAAAATATTTGTAGAAAGAAGAGAGGCATCTCACGTCATTTCAGTGAGAAAGTGACTGAAGCCGAGATGCCAGGTCAGGATAGATTACATTACAGACCCTTGTTCGAATTTTGCAGAGGGTCTCGGGATATTTAGTAGGTGTTCTAGACCAGAAAATGGCGGCAATATTCAATGCGATGTCGAATGATAGATTTATAAATGTCTAATTGCTTTTACTTTTATTAAAACAGGTGTATGCAGAGATAAATATTAGTCATATTAATGTATTATCAGATTATATGGAGAATTTGAAAAAAACCAACATAATTATATATTTTTTATTTATTTATATTTACAAAGAAAACCGCATGGTCATTTTGGAGTTAATGTTTTCATAATTTCCACTTCTTTACACCCCGAGGCATACGGCCATATTAAGTTGAAGTTAAGAAACGTAGAGCGCGCTCAGTACCTAGATGGGTGAATGCTTGGGAATATCAGGTTTTGTAAGCTTGGGTGTACGGTTGGTGTAATGAATAACAGCACGAAATTGAAAATCAGAGAACCGAGATCCAATTTCTCTCGAATTCTTTATATTCACTTACTTGCAAATACGCTTGGGAAATGTATGAATCCAATTCTTCTCAACCCCCCAGCTATGGGTTAATTAGTAGGACTTGTAAATCTTTATTATCTTTTAATTTTTGTTAAAACAGGTGTATGCAGAGATAAACATTAGGCGTATTAATATGTCATCAGATTAAATAGAGCATTTGAAAAATAATTTTATATTATTTTTACTTATTTATATTTACGATCATATTCACATTGTACAAACCCCAAGAGCCACTCGAGTTAGATTGTTCAGAGTAAGTGGCAACACATCAAGGAAAAGTGATAATACCACCAAAATCCAAGAGGCCGGCGGAAGTGAAAGAGAAAGAAAAAACATTTTAAGAAACCGGAAACCATCATAAACCGGAAAGAAGGAATAAACATCTACTCCTGTTCAAAAATCTGGGGAGGAGTGTGAACCGGACGACAGGCGTTATTATAATCATTATTCTTAAACTTAATATACCTCAATAGAAGCAGAAAAATATCGAAGGAAAAGGCATGTCTGAAAAGAAATATCTCCATTAACAAAGAAATATTCAC